GGGCTAATTTTGTAGCTTTTCAGAGGGACTTGATAGGAGAAACGTAGATGTCGAGATGTCAGATTTTACCTGACAATATTGGTTCATCGTCAGAATTAACACTTGTCCATAGGATGAATTCCAGGGTCATTTTGCCCCTTTCCTTCGATTTGCCACGGACGAAAAATATAGAAAGGGAAAAGCAGAAAATAAACAGCGAGTGCACGCACACAACGGATAAATTCGGATAACAGGCGTATTTCAGCGCCCGTGAGAGAAGAACAGGCGAGCTCTGTTGAAGAAAACGTGGCTGGGAGCAATTACTCGTTTCAAACGGTGATTACGGCACTTTATTTAACTTGGTCGTTCGAAGGTTGGTTCTGCAGATCTGCCGTTGACACTTATTATGAAACGGTTTTCTTTTGTAACGCGCGATCCAAAAGCGGTAATTAGAGCGTCCGATAACTAGAGCGTTCTCGCCCCGCGAGAAAATGGCAGCCGGGGATTTTCTGTCCGCAGCAGGAACAGGAGCTGATGCCTGACTTTGTACTCCCCGTGTTAAACTCCTCTCTCGCTATTGTCGTAATTGTGCCCTCCTCCTTCACCCTGCCCCTTCCTCCGCCGTGAAATCCAACGATTACAATAGCGGCTCGTGTCTTGCAAATGCACGGTGCTGGGGATTACCACCCAGATTTCCTTTTTCCTCCAGAGAAACGCGAGAACATCTCTCGATCCATTGGCTCATCGAATTCTTGAATTTCCAAAAGTTGTTCAATTCTTAACATTCCCGGGGGAAGCTGCCGCGACTTCCCAATTCGCTCGAACTTCGAATTCCCGGGCACACTTTCAAATCTCTGAATTTCTAAATTTCGTACATTTCTCTTTCGTTAATCTCGCAAATTTCCAACGTCCGCTCTCTCTCTCTCTCTTTCTCTCATTTTTTTTTCAGTCAGTTCTCGCATCCATTCGATTCGAAGAGGAATCAGTAGAACGACACACACATATGCGAAAAAGTGTCTCGGCAAAGTGAAACACGTCAATGTATGCCAAAGTGGCGAGAGCTTCATGAGGGAAGAATACGAAAGTGGCATTCGCAAACTTTCGAAATCCTATTAATGTAAAATACCGGAATTCTCCGAAAGATCCGGCGGATAGGCCCAAATAGGTTGCGCATCCGTACCGTCAAAACTCGCGAAGAATTTGAATACAACGCTGCCGAAAAACTTTCGTTTTAGACGAAAACTGCCATCAACCGGATGACATGGACTCCCGGCTCGGATTCCGACTCGATTCGATCAGTCGTTCGAATATTTCGCTGAATCCAGCGCACGCATCTGAGAAATTGTTATTTTATACGAGACAGGCTAAAGGTAGACGAGGTAGGCTCGGTGTTAGTTTTATTTGCTGCGTAGCAGATTGAGAATTTCTACCGATTGCAAGAGTGTGAGAATTTAGAAATCTAGGAATCGAGAATCTAATCTCTATTATAGCGAGTAATTTAGTCACGTAAAGTAATTATTATAATGTAGTATTATAATAATTACTAGTATTATTATAGTTAGTATTATACTACTATTATTATAGTTAGTATTATAATTAGTATTATACTACTATTATTATAGTTAGTATTATAGTTAGTATTATACTACATATAATATTTATTATATAATAAAATTATTTAATAAAATTAAATAAAATTATTTAATAAAATTTAGTTAAGTAGTTATGTAGTTAGTATTATACTAGATATAATATTTATTATATAATAAAATTATTTAATAAAATTATAATAAA